GGGGGGGGGGGCACTTAAATTAAATTTGTTTTAAAAGAAAGAATAGCCTTCCATTTGTGACTTAACTTAATGACTTAATTTAGCTCTCGTACAACTAAGGACTGTGCAAGCAATTTACTGTGTTGTCGGGGGTAGGGAATTGTCAACAATTGCCCAAACTGTTCCCTCTGATTATATTAAATCCATACGTTCTTATGACATCAGAAAGTTTAATAAGAATTCCCCCCCCCCCAAATTAAAACAAAACAAAAAGCAAAACCCAAACAGTCTCGATACACGTACTCAGCTGACGGAAGCGGTCAAATGCTCACCAAAAAATGTGTATTACTAGGTACTTATATCATAAATTAAAGGAGAATCGGTGTCTTCAGAAAAACCGGTGCAAATATCCGTTGCCCAATTATATTACTGCTGATAGGAAACTAGTTCGGTGTTATAGCGGGGTGGGGCTGGGGGTGGTTGGGAGGCGCCACTGGGTGGCATGTCCTACTTACTTTTTTCTCCCCATCTGCTGGCTGGTTCAGTTTATCTGTCTTGTTTTGTTTTCCCCTTGCACTTTACCTGCCATCGTGCGATGTGCTTCTCTTTGCCCAAAGGGCGGGTTCTTTTGAAACAAAGTGGGTTTTTTAATTTTAAATCAGTATTGAAAAGGTGACATTTTGTGCTATTTCATGTCACCGAATTTTGTGCTTATAAAAGGCGCTCAACCTTGCATGAAATCATAATATGTCTGTTTAGTTTTACTTTTTCTCAGCACAAAATGACCGTTATTGTATCGATGTACTTGTCAATACAAAAGCTCCTTGCCCATAACACCCCCCCTCCCCATGTATTAAAAGTTAGCTATTTTATAATTTGTGGACAGATAAGTAAAATAGAAAAAGGGGGGGGGGGGAGAAAAAATCCCGTGCCTGTCCAGTTTGACGTTGATATGTCAAATAATGGGCTGCTATTTGGAGAAGAAAATCAAATTAATCAGTTGAGAACGTGCTGCCCTCCCTCCCTCTATAATCATCTCGTGCCTGGGGGTATTAGAGCCCCTGTAGATCGCCTGTGAGTTGCCGCCCTTCCCATGTTGACATCTGCTGTCTGACAAAACCCTTCCTCCTGTCTCCGTTGCTGCTGTTGTTGTTGTTATGTTTTGTTTTTTTGTGTGTGGAAAAAGGG